CCTTGGAGCCCTTAAGTGGCGGGGGAATATAGCGGCAGCAACAGGTCGCCAGAAGTGGACCTTCAAAGGCAATCACCACGACGACGACGACGACGACGACGACGACGACGACGACGACGGCGGCGACGGCGACGACGACGACGGCGACGACGACGACGACGACGGCGACGACGACGACGACGACGACACTAATCAGATGAAGACTGTTCGCACCAATCTGCTCGCGTGCCCTTCAACACGTAGATCCCGAACTCTCAATACCCGCCCTCTTCGTCCTCGAACGTGGCCCCTTGGGGGTATGCCCTTCTTGACTGCAGCGTGTATGTCGCGCAGCCCCAGAGGCAAGGGAAGAGAGGACGGATGGAAGGGCAATGGGGGAGGGAGGAGGATGGGACACGGGCTAGGAGCAGAAAGCACGTGGCAGAACCAGACGAGCAGATCGGGCAGGTAGACCCTACCAGGCGGGTCGGGAAGGAGGGCCCAGGCGGCCAGGTCGAGCAGGCGGGTTGCTGTAGCGTGCGTCCTGCATGAATCGCGAGAAAATCTCGTGCGACAGCTCGATCCACAAATCAATCGTGAGCAAATCCACAGCGAGAGCGTGACTCCTGAATGTTGAGGGCGCGGCGTCTGAATCCGCGGGCCCCCTTGCGGGGCCACCAGGCTGCGAGGGTGAAGATTGCAGCTCCCTGTTCCAGTTGCACCTTCCAGTTTCCACTGCTACAGTCCTGCTTTCTGCTTCCTTACTCTTGATTCCAAACGCTTCACGTGATTCCACCAGCAGCCCCCGCCCGCCGCTTAGATGCAATGCTTCCCGCCGCTTGTCAGCTGCGCGCGTTCGGCTCCTTTTTAGGCCGTTGTAATTTAGGTCGTTGCTTGTCGGCAATTTCCTGGCGGCGCGCGGCTCCTCCGCTTGCGCTCGCGAACAAAAAGTAACCCCACCAGCCCATCCAGAAACGATGCCCAGAGGAATTGCCTCGATCAGGGAAATGGGCAGCACACAGAGGAAGGGTACCCCAATGGAGGCCTCTTGGAGCGTCTTGGGGGCCTCTTGGTGGTCCCGGACGCCTCTTGGAGCGTCTTGGGTGCATCGGACGGCTTATTGGGGCCTCTTGGGGGTCTCTTGGGAGCCTCTTGGAAGCCTCTTGGGCGCCTCCTGGGGCCTCCTGGGGCCTCCTGGGCGCCTCTTGAGGCCCTCTTGAAGTGCCCTTGGGAGCGCTCTTGGAGCCCTCTTGGGCCATCTTGGAGCCATCTTGAGGCCTCGGATGGCCATCGGAAGCGAAAAGGCGAGAAAGCCAAATACATTGATTTCCCCAAGACGTTGGAAAGATTTGGGCCTCTTCGGGGCCTCCTGGGGGGGCTCTTTGGCCACTTGGAGCCGTCTTGGGGCCTCTTGGAGCGTCGTGGGAGCCATCTTGAGGCATCTTGGGGTATCTTGAGATCAATGATTTCGGCATTCTCGCCGAGGCCTCTTGGAGCGTCTTGGGTGCCTCTGGGGGGCATCTTGGGGGGGGCCTTTTTTTTCCCCACATCCAAAGTGGGGTTCTTGTTTTCTCTGCACACCCCGCGCAGGAACACTCACCCCACCCCTCTCCTCTTCTGCCTTCGCACACTCACTCACGCACTCATCATCATCACCACTCACTCACACTCACACTCACTCACACTCTCTCATCATCAACATCAGCATCATCACTCGCGCTCTCTCACACGCTCAGTCACTCACATACTCATCATCATCATCATCATCATCATCATCATCATCATCATCATCATCATCATCATCATCATCATCATCATCATCATCACTCGCACTCTGTCACACGCTCACTCATTCACATACTCACCTGGAGGAAGTCTCAGGCGGGAGTTCGTCTGTGAGTGAATTGTGAGGAAGTCTCAGGCGGGAGCCCCCTCCCTATGGGGCCCGCAGATCATGTTGGTAATCCGAGCGGGTCATCCAAACCCTGTAACTGTCGTCACTTTTGGGCTCCTCAAGCTTGAGTGCGGAGGAAGTCTCAGGCGGGAGCCTCGTCTGTGAGTGAATTGCGAAGAAGTCACAGGCGGGAACCCCTCCCTATGGGGCCCGCGCTTCATGTTGGTAATCCGAGCGGGTCATCCAAACCCTGTAACAGTCGTCACTTTTGGGCTCTTCAGGCCTGAATTTGGAGGAAGTCTCAGGCGGGAACCTCGTCTGTGAGTGAATTGTGAGGAAGTCTCAGGCGGGAGCCCCCTCCCTATGGGGCCCGCAGATCAGGTTGGTAATCCGAGCGGGTCATCCAAACCTTGTAACTGTCGTCACTTTTGGGCTCTCGCGCTGCCAGAACGCCATTCCTGGGCCACATTGCGCATGCCCGGAGCCAACTGTAGGCCACTTCGTGTTCTTCGTGTTCCCAGAACACCATTCCCGGGCCACATTTTGAAACCCCGGAGCCAACTGTAGGCCACTTCGTGTTCTTCCTGTTCCCAGAACACCATTCCCGCTCCAAGAGGCCCCAAGACCGCTCCAAGACGGCTCCAAGTGGCCAAAGAGCTCCCTCAGGCGGCCCCGAAGAGGCCCGCCTTCCAAAGCCTTAGGGAAGTCAATGTTTTTGGCTTTCTCGTCTTTAGCTTCCGATGGCCATCCGAGGCTTCAAGATGGCCCCAAGATGGCCCAAGAGGGCTCCAAGAGCGCTCCCAAGGCTCCCAAGAGCACTTCAAGAGGGCCCTAAGAGGCGCCCAGGAAGCCCCACGAGGCCCCAACAGGCGCCCAAGAGGCCTCCAAAAGGCCTCCAAGAGGCTCCCACGAGACCCCCAAGAGGCCCCAAGAAGCTCCCCGCGGCACCCGAGACGCTCTAAGAGGCGTCCGGGACCGCCAAGAGGCCCCCAAGACGCTCCAAGAGGCCTCCACTGGGAACCCTTCCTCTGTGTGCTGTCCACTTCCCGGATCGAGGCAATTCCTCTCGGCATCGTTTCTGGATCTTCCTCCTCCTCCTCCTCCTCCTCCTCCTCCTCCTCCTCCTCTTCCTGCGGTCGCATTCACAGGCTGGCACCTTCCAAAACGGAAAGGCTCAAACTTGCGACGAATACCACCGATCTGCAAAATGGTCCCACAGCGACCATCCAGAATCATCAACCCCTGCCCGACACAAGCAAATAAATCACCGACCAGACCCGTGATCACCCAGGATTGCCCCAGGACAAACCCGCCAGAATCTGCGACGAATCCCCGAAACCAAATCCACAGTCACCGCGACCCCCTCAGGAATACACCCCCAAATCGAAGCGACTAAATAGTCATTCTTTAGGAATGACAACTCAAAGACATCATCAACAATCATTTCAAAACTGTTCGCTCTCATTTGCTCGCGTGCCACTCGACATGTATATCCCGAATCCTCGGTACCCGCCCTCTTCGTTTTCGATCGTACACCCTTGGGGGTCTTTCTGACCTGCCACGTGCATGTAGTGCAGCCCCGAAAACAAGGCAAGAGAGGACGGATGAAAGGGGGAGGGAGGAGGATGGAGCACGAGAGAAATGAGCAGGAGGGGGGCTAGGAGCAGAAAGCACATGGCAGAGCCGGACGGGCTGATCGGGCGGGTAGGCACTAGCGGGCGAGCCGGGGAGCTGGACCCAGGGGGCCAGGTCGAACAGGCGAGCTACTGGAGCGTGCGTCCTGCATGAATCGCGAGGACGTCCCGGAGATAGCGCGATGCCCAAGCAAATCGTGAGAAAGGCCAGCGCGAGAGCGTGATTCCTGAGCGTCGAGGGCGCGGCGTCTGAACAAATTGCAAGGTAGTCCTACGCGTGCGCGCGCTTCCTATATAACTTGTGGGGAAGCCCCGCGCGAGAACGCGATTGGGGAATCCAGTGTGAAAGAGTATCAAGCGGGAGCCGTTGCTGTTGTTAAATCCGGGGCCAGAGGCGCAGTTCCCATGCGAAACATTGTGCGGGAGGCCTGCGCGAGAGCGCGACCTCGGAATACATTATGAGGAAGTAGCAAGCGGGAGCCGCTGTTGTTGCACACTGGGGCCCGACAGCGCAGCTTAAGCAGGAAAACAATGATAAAAAAACAGGGTGCGGGCCCCGAGGAGGGGACTTCAGTTAAACAAAACCCAGTGTGCACCTGTGATGGGGGATCAACCATAATCATTTTGCAAGAATAAAAATTCAACAACATCCACAAAACAGACGCAACAATAACACCACCACCACCAACAACAGCAGCACCAACAACAACATTCATTTAAAGACTGTTCGCTCTGATCGGCTCGCGCGCTGTTCAATATACCCCAAAACCTCGATACCCGCCCTTTTCGTCCTCGATAGCACCACCTTGGAGGCACATTTGTCTTACCTGCCACGAGTATTTCATGCAGCCCCTACGGCAGAGGAAGACAGGACGGATGGAAGGAAGGAGCAAGTGGAAGGGAGGAGGATGGAGCACGAGAAAGAGAGTAACAGGAGGGAGGCTAGGAACAAAAAAAACACGTGGCAGAACCAGACGGGGAAATCGGGCGGGTAGATCCTAACAGGCGGGTCGGGGAGGCGGGCCCAAGCGGCCAGGTCGAGCAGGCGGGTTGCTGAAACGTGCGTCCTGCATGAATCGCGAGGAAATCTAGACCGATAGCGCGATTCCGTAAATCGTGAGATGGGCCAAAGCGAGAGTGTGATTCCTGACTGTCGAGGGCGCGGCGTCTGAATAAGTTGCAAGGAAGTCCCACGCGGGCGCGCGATGTCTGCAACAATTATGTGGAAGTCCCGCGCGAGAGCGCGATCTGGGATTACATTGTGAGGAAGCATCTGGCGGGAACCGTTGTTGTTGTTGTCGTCGTCGTTGTTGTTGTTGCTGCAAGCCGGGGGCCAGGAGCGCAGTTTGGTGACACCTCGTTTTCCATGGAAGAGAAACAAAAACAAACAAGGTGCGCGCCCCGGGAGAAGCACTTTACTTGAAACATGCAATGGTTACCGGAAGGGGAATTAACAATCATTGTTCTTCAAACATTCAACAACACCGACAGCA